CCCGCCTCCCGCCGCCGCATCGGCCCACCCGGCGTGGCCGTGACGTCACCGCGCCCCGCCCGCCGCTGCGCCAGGGCGCCCTCTGCGGGCCGGGAGGGCGGCGGCGCCCGAGGGGAGCGGCCCGCGCTAAGGGGAGAGGCCTGCACTGAGGGAGGGCTGCTGCTGGCTCTGGGAACGGACTGCGACCCCCTCGCTCACCCCAGTACCTGCACTGGGACCCCACTCACTCCAGTAGTTGCCACTGGGACCCCACTCACCCCCGTACCTGCACTGGGGCCCCCCCACTCCAGTAGTTGCCACTTGGACACCCCCACTCACCCCAGTACCTCACTGAGAGACCCCCACTCACTCCAGTAGCTGCCACTGGGACCCTACTCACCCCAGTACCTCACTGAGACCACCCCGGTCAACCCAAAAACTGCACTGGTACCCTACTCACTCCAGAAGCTGGCACTGCGACCCCCTCACTCACTCCAGTACCTGCACTGGGACCCCACTCACCCCAGTACCTCACTGAGCCCCCCCCACTCACTCAAGTAGGTGCATTGGGACCTTACTTACTCCAGTACCTCACTGGGACCCCCCCAGTCAACCCAGTACCTGCACTGGGATCCCACTCACTCACCCCAGTACCTGTGCTGGGACCCTCCCACTCACTCCAGTACCTGACACTGAGACCCCCCCACTCACCCCAGTACCTACTCTGAGACGCCCCCCACTCACTCCAGTACCTGACACTGGGACCCTGCTCACTCCAGTAGCTGCCACTGAGATCCCCCACTCACCCCAGTAGAGACGCCCACTCACTCCAGTAGCTGGAACTGGGACCCCTCCACTCACTCCAGTAGCTGACATTATCTCCATGTCTGGTTTGACAGGTCTGGGTCTTGGGTGTATTTTGTATTTGGTCTCCCCATTTTTCCCTTGGTTTCCCAGTTGAGCAGTTCCCTGATCACTTCACCGCCCTGGAATAAACCTTCTCGCCCTCTCGCTCCTCAGTCAGTGTGACCGACCAGGCCTGGTTCCCACCACTGCCCCCCTGACCCTTTCTCGGGCAGATTTGTTTCACCACACGTTCTTCTGGATGGCATCCTCCCCTTCACATTATCCCTGAGACACCAAAGAAGGTCCTCGACCAGACCCCCTGAAAGGAGCAGACACTCTCCACCCACACACCTTTCCATGGATCCAGTCATCATCCGCCTGTCTCCACCACACTGACCCTGAAGTCTCACTCAACCTGAAAATAAAGGCCACAGAGACCAGTCCAGTCCCACTCAACTACTTTATTAGCAAAGACTGCAAGGGATTATACTGGAATCGCCACTGTAGCAACTCTACAGGAGGGTTTGGCTCTTGGATTTCCAGCAGCAAAGGCCACTGACCACCTCAGTGGTGCCGTCCCAGCTGGTTCCATGTTCTCCAGACCATGGCTCTGTTGCCATCAGCCTGTCCTGATGGCACCAACGCTAAAGTCACACACCACCGATGGCTGCTGAGGAAGCCGAAAAGACACAGAATTCTCCACATTTTCCATACAGAGGTTTTTGCTCAATGGCAAAGCAAATGGCAAGAGCAGTCGCTACCATGGCTAAGAGCAGGAGGAAAGTTCAGCAGGCCCAGGGACCTGCAAAGGAGTGCTTCTTTGCTCTTCACCTGCCACTTGGTCTTCATCTTGGCCATATGACTGCTTGCTGCAGGGGATGGGGTTTTGGGATTTTTTCTCTAAGACAAAGCAGAGGTAAAGGCTTATGGCAAGAAGGGAAGAGGGTGTTGACTTCAGCATGAAGGAAGAGAGTTTTTGGACGATGGCAGGAGTATCTCACCTTATTTCACCCAACTTTATGAGCCATTAGACATCATTTTCTTCTTGTGGCTTGGGGTCATAGTCGTGATAACAATATTTTGTACCACGGCCTTCTAAAATGCAAAGAGGATGTGGTTCTTCCTTCATATCGAAATGGCCTAATACTTCTCCAGGTCGGCAAGTGCTTCCTGCTTTGTAATTCTCTGCCACGAATCAGGGATTGCTCCTTTGCCTTGAAATTTCCCCTTTTTCCATCTTTCTAGGTTTGCCCGGAAATGAGACACAAACCATTTCCAGTACACTTGCATGGATGTATCAGGAAGAATGTTCCAAGTGGAATAAGGAGGTCCTGCATCCCGGTATCTCTTGTAGGGCATCCATTTGTCTCCACCGATCCCGAATGAACAGTTACTTGTGACGCAATTAGAACAAATATCGATGGACAGATTGTCCGTCTGATGCCACTTGCGTCCCCGCAAAACTTCTGGCCGATGGAAGAGGAGCTGGTGGTCCCCGTCATGGTTCGGCATGGTGTTTGTGCAGAGAGCCCCACAAAAGGGACACTGCTCCCAGCACCCCGAAAACTGCTCCGCCAGGATTTCGTGAGGCTGCCTTTCAAGGGAGCTCATGTCAGCCGTAGCGAGCTCCTTCTTGAGCTGGTCCTTCATGGCAGACAGCGATTCTGTCATGGCGTTTTTCAGGAACTCTATGTCTGTTACCTCCTGGTGCTCGATGCCCTTCAGGTCCCTTCTGGGCAAGCTTAGCACCTCTCCAAGTTCCTGGCAAAATGCATCCAGCCAAAGAGAGATTTTGTCATTTCTGTCTATTTGGTCTTTGACAACCTTGGTTGATACAGAAACGGCTGAGAGGATGCATTCGTAGCAGAGGGTGAGGGAGTTCTCTAACAACGTCTCCAGCCTCCTGTTCTCAGAGCAGTACTCATCAACACGCTTCCAAATGTAAATCTGTAAGAAATCTTGTGGGCTACTAAGGTACATCTCGAAATTCTCAAACTTTTCTTCTTCTGCCATGTACCTCAGCATGCAAACTTCCAGGGAGGCCCTGTTGCCGCTGAAATCTGGGACTTTAGCCTTCATGTCTCGAGCTATGGCAAGAGCTGTCCTCTCATAGACCGCCTGCCGGAGAGCTGGGGCAATCTTGTCACACAGGAAAATGGCAAATGTTGTGACAGAAGTGGCTCCTTGGCAGGAAATCTGGAAACAGATAAAGAAATCTTCTCTCTTGCTCTCCAGGTAGACAGCGGGATGATTTGCTTTCCTGAATGCCGAGTGCATGGCTTTAAACCTCTCTGCGGCTATTCCGCAGAGATACAGCGTCAAATCTATCTCGTAATCTTTGTTAAAACTGTAATTTGCACTGTCAGGGACAGAGTTTATACCTTTCTGTACTTCTTGTAGTATTTCATGGATAAAACTTTGGTCGTAATCCCTTTTCTCCTTTTCCTTCTTCTCAATGTTTGCCATCACGCAGCCTATGATGTTCTCTGTAATGCGGTGTATTGTGCTGCTGTCGGCATCATCAATACTCCTATCAAAGATCCCAAACCTTTTTTTCTTAGCGACATGTTTCTCCAAGTCAACAGAAAATTCTTTGCATCTGGGAAATGTGCTGATTCTTTCATGCAATTTTGGCTCCTTAAAGTGATCTAGAAGGACAGCTTCTATGTCCAGATCAATATTAACCTTATTGAGAGGGGGAGCAGCAGAGGAGACTTCTGAAATCCAGTCTGCCCAGAGACAAATAAATCTCTCTCTCAGTTCTTTTTCGCTCAATTTCTGACCTTTTAGAGACAGAGCCAACTCCCTGCTTTTTTTCAGGAGCTCGTTCTCATATTCTGACTTCCTTTTATCCAGTTTAGACTGGTTCTTCCTCAGTTCAATAAGATTCTCACACTTCTTCCTCGTTTCGAGAAGAAGAGATTCTTTCAGTTCTTTCAGCTTCAGTTCCGTGCTCTTCCACTGGACCAGGATCTCACAGTCTCTGTCTTCACTGAAATACTTTTCCATGTCTTTTGTGATGGCATCGCTTGTCTCTTTAACTTGTTTTTCAAGGTGGTCTGTGGTGACCTCCTGCAAGTCCCCATTCCGAATTTTGTTGTCCAGTTTCATTTGCAAGTCTAAGATGTGGCTCCTTAGATCCCAGGTCCACTTACTGAAGGCGGTTTCCAGTTTCTTGTATGCAGCGATCTCCAATGAGTTCTTGAAGCTGAAAATGAAGTTTTCATTCAGCAAAGCGTTCCAGAGGTCACTAATTCGATCTTTCAAGCTGGAGAACCTCAAAACGCTGCCCTGTGCCTCCTTCTTGGCAGCCTGGAGGATTTTGCTCTTTAATTCCTGGACGTTCTGGCTGTAGGTGGGGTTGGGCGGTGCCATTGGGGGGTTTCCTTCCCACAGGTGAGCAAAGTAATGAATGTGGGTGTTGACGTCAAAGCGGATGACGTCGCTGAAGCAGGAGACATCACAGAATTCCTGCTGGGCAGCGATCAGAGTCATTTCATCCAGCTTTTCCTGCAGACGCCTTTGTCCTTCCATGTTCTGCTCCTTGGCAGTTATTTCTCCCACGTTTTGATGGACGAAGAGGCAGCTTGGGGAAAGATGTACCTGCTTCATCCTCAGGAAAGCCTGCACGGCGATCTGAAGGACATCTTGCATTTCTGAAGGATTTTCTCCAAAGATATTGATGAGAGTCATGTTGCCGATGCCAATGACAAAGGTGGCCAGCTCGTTGTCGTGATTCAGGGACTGTTTATTGGCCAACTCGATGGCGCGAAGTCCCTCTGTGTCAACAACGAGCATGTAATCGAAGTCCACCTCCTGCTGCAGCTTCTCGTCCACTTTAATTAGCTGCATAAACGCTCCCCGGGTGCATCTCCCTGCGCTGACATTAAACTGAAGCCCAAACATGGCGTTCAACAGGGTTGACTTCCCTGTGCTCTGGATGCCCAGCACCGAGAGAACGAACACTCGCTTGTCTCCAAGCTCCTCGATTAAACTGTCAAAGATTGCCCTGACCCATCGCAGTGGTACGTAAGAAGCATCCCCATCCATCAGCTCGATGGGATACCCCGAAACCATCAGATCAGCTGCAATTTCAGGCAGTTTGTTGAAATATTTCTCCTTTGATTTAGTCGATATCAGAGCTTCATAGATCTGCCCTACCTCTCTCAAGATGTGCTCGAGGCCAATGGAGGAATCGTTGATCTCATTGGAGAGGGCTTCTAAATCACGCATCAGCGCAGGTTTCATATCAATCTTTTTGCTGTTTCTCTTTATTGCCAGGATCTCAGACCATAACTGGTGATATTGCCTCCTCAGTTCGTCGAGGCGGTCGGAGGACAGGTCGTCCATAAAGACCTTCATCCACTGCAGGAAGTATTTCTTGCTGTCTGCTGGCTGCGACTGGAGAAAGCCAAGGACCGATTTCATCAGCTGGTTGAGGGGGAACGCTTTGTCCAGCTGCTTTCTTCTTATGGCTGACTTCTCTGACTCAATTTGGCTCCGATGGTGCTCGATGCTCTTGTTCCCCTTTTCCTGCAGGCGAGTGAGCTCCTTGTCCTTTTTACACCACATGTACCACAGTTTTCCCTGAAGAGGCAGCAGCTGGGATTTGATCTCAAACAACTTCTTTTCCTTCAGGAGCTTCACCAGCGCCTCAGCCTTTCCTTTGGCTGTCACACACGCGTCGGTATCCTCATCGACTACGAAGCCGTGCTTGCGGGCTCTGTCCAGGCAGGCGTCGAGGCTGAAAAGGGTGTTAGACTTTTCCAGGAGATCCCTGATGGTTTTGCTCAGCTCCTCCATCAATTCTGCCTCGTTTCTGTTCTTCATACCTATTTTGACGTTCTGGCTGGATCGGCCAGCTTCCATATTCTCCATGTCAGTGAAAAGACAAACCAAAGGCCTCTGCGACTGCCACAGGTCACGCAAAATTGTCATGGTTCTCCTGTCGCTCTGGTCAGACTCGGACACAAAAGCCACGTTCACAGCAGATATCTCCTGCAAAAACTGCAGCTGCTCTTTGTGGTCCCTCGCGTCTCCGTGCAGGTTGCAGAAAGCCACGCAGCAGCCAAAGCTGTCGTCGTCGCTGCCCCGGGGACAGTACCAGGAGATCTCCACCACCCCTTTCATCAGCAGACAGTCTTTGGTGCTGCCTTTGCAGTGCCGGTGGAAGAAAGTGTCGTGCTTTTGTTTGCTCAGCAGAGCATTCAGGATCTGAGACTTGGAAGAGGAGGGAGAACTGCCGATGCGGATGAAGGACACGATGGGCGTCTCTGCCTGGTAGATGAGTTTGTTTTTGTGACTCTTAATCGTCCCCCGCGTTCCCGACTTCTCAGCCCCTTTCCAGCTCTTTTTGATTTGGCTGAGGGACCAGATGGGCAGCTCGATCTGTGAAGTGCAGGGGTTCGGTACCAGCAGAGGGAGCGCAAATTGGCAGAAAGCAAGCTTTGTCAACATGTACTGTCTCATGAAATCGTCGGCACAATGAAAAATTGCCATCTGGAGGTCCATGGGGTGCACACGGCTCTCCCTGGGTGCAGGTCTGCGGGCTTTATCCAAATGAGAGAAAAAGTCCTCAAAGGAATCTGAGGTTTCCTGTTCTTGCTCTGTGGGGTTTGGCCCGGGTGTGGGTCCTGGGTTGTTCTCCTCCTTGCAAGTCAGGTACCTCACCCGATAGTCCACCGTTAATAGCTTTTGCAAGAAGTAAAACGGTAGTTCATTGTCCTTGCTGGGCTGGCTGTCGTGTAAGGACGTCTTGTATATGATGTGGAAATCTTCTATCCCCATCTTTTTGGGATAGTGATTTTCTAGTCCAAGGCGCTTGAGTAAGTGGAGGAAGTTTTGGTTTGCAACAGCTTGATCTGCGTTGGATTTGCTGGTGTCAGGTGTGGGTTTGGGCTGACTGGAAGGCTCTACTCTTTGAAAAGTGTCTTCCATGTCTTTGATTATGCTGTTTTTCTTTGCTTCATCACAGGTGTCATCCAGGTGCCCACTGATGAGGGACTGTAAGCCACTTTCCAGCATCTCCCAGTCTTTGAGTGCACGGTGCTTTTCGAGGAGAGTTGTTATCTCTGTGGACCATAAGTTTTTCATGTGATCTTCCATGAAAACTAATCGCTCCTCCTTCTGCTCCGGGGACACCGCTTCATGCTCGGGCGTTACAGTCAGACCCGTCAGCAGCAGGTGGGCCTGGGCTCTGTAAAGGTCTTGCTCCTTCAGATTCAGATACTCCTGATGTCCCGTTTGCATTTGAGTTGTCATGAAGGTAATTTCTGGACATCCAAGGAGGGACTGAAACGTGCTGCTTTCCACCCGGTACCCCATGCTGGTCGTAATTAGGAGCACCAACAGTTCTACATCTTTCTGTGCCCTTTCCTGGAGACACTGGAGCAAGGAGTAAATCGCTAGGCTTGCAGTCAAGGTGGCTTTTACCTTTGCTTCATGAACAGCAGATGCAGAGGTTTCTGGTGCGTAGGTTACTTCATGGATGTAGCCCTTCATCTGCAGCAGTGTCTTGGTGATATCGTCAAGCTCAGAAACATTGGATGTT